GTGCCACATCCAGATTCTGCATTGTCCCTTTTATAATCGGGAGTCCCTTCTCAGATACATTCACACTAGCCAGACTTAATTTACACTTGGGAACAGATTGCTGGCATTCACTCTGTTCCATATTTAGTTTAAATTGGAAGGGTTTCAATTAGGGCATTTCCGCGCTAGATGATTCGGGTCATTGCATATAAAACATCGCCTACTACCCGTTTGCCTTATTCTCGGTCTCGTATGGCTATTCCCCGCCAGTTGAGCGACAGATTCGCACAGTGATCTTACTGTGGCTTCCAACCGAGTTAATCTATCGTTTTTCTCTTCCTCGGCACTATTGATTTCCCCTTTTTCGTCGCACTCATTCTTTGGATTTTGTATCACGGAAATCGTTCTATTGCTACCAAGGTTCACACACTCATTTACGACCTTTTCTTCCCGTTCCGCAATCGGATAGCTTCATTTAGTGTTTTAGGTTCGCTTCGGAACACGTGCTCCCGGATCTGGGGATGTAGCCCTTTCATAAATCTCTTCATCACGACATTGTCCCGGAGCATCGAAACTTGATTATCTTTAGATACCGCACCGTAAAACATGGTATTAAGTCTAATAACATAGTCACATACCTTCTCTTTGCGAAATTGTCGAATGCCCATCAATTGGTCCAATGTGCTTCTCTCCTTGAGTTCAGTTCTGTCGTAGCTCTTGATTAAATTGTCTTTCACTTCGTCGAAAGAATGGGGATACAAATCTTGTAATGAGAAGAACGTAGATAGTGGTCCTCCTTTGAGTTTGCCTTGCAATATCGCTATCTTTACTTCTGGATCCCATCCGGCCAAGCGGGCCACGTTGTCAACAGTTTGAAAGAATTGGCGTATATTCACTGAGTCACTACTAGTATTCGAAAAGGTGGGGATCATCCCGAGGAAACCCGTAATAACTGGTGGAGACATCATGGGAGTTCCATTCGGATGGGTTTCATGGAGACTATCCGGTTCGCTCATCGTGCTCAATCCACCGGGTACAGATAAGTAACAGGATAACAGTTATACTAGAACTTTTCTGAGAATGTCAACAGGTAATTCACACTTTAGATCCTGTCGCGGACGCCATTGTAAGATTTAATTTCAATATACAGAAATTAAGTAACATAAGGATCAATAAGTAATACAATAACTTCCCGATAATTCTATCCGTTTCTTACAAAAATTGAGTCGCGGACACACGTGAATTACAATCAAGACATGAAATACAGATACCGTACAAAAGTTACTACGATCGAAGTCTTCAACGAGTTTCTTTCTCCCCTTGTTCTCGTTGTCCCGATCAGTCCTCGTTCCTTTGTTTTCTCTATACCTCGTACTTCCGTCGATCCACTCTCGAGTCTGTCCTTTCTTCGTCTCCCCTTTTTCGCCGCTCCTGTTCCCTATTTATACTCACCTCTCTCCCCCTGCTGGGCTAATTGCCCCCTTCGGGTCAAACGGACGGTGTACCGGTTTGGCTTACCTTAAACAAAGGCCATTGTCTGATATAGGCACAATATGGCGAACGATCGCCACAAGCTAATGTGTCCTGTTGTTCTGAGAATTCAAGTTGAAGCCCAAGTTAGATCTTTGTGTTGAGTGCAGGACTAAACAGCTCTAAATCAAACTTCATACATTTCAGACCATGCAAGTAATCAGTTTCTAACTCATTGCAGCAACTTTTTTATATCTCAGTTAATTTGATATTTATAAAATCCAGCGCAAACTGGTTGGATGCAATGTCAAATGAAATTTGCACAGTCGTTGTGAGTTTGATGGGTGGTTATCACTACTATGTCATACCCTTCAACGACTCTCGGATCCAACATGTTGGGATTTTTGTGCAATGGTTGTGAGACACTCTTGCGCAGTGAAATATTTTTACCACTTATTTCAGCAACAAGCTGCAATTTCAAATCAAAAGAAATTGATTGATTATCATACATATAAGAATATCACAATTATTCCACTAAAGATATTTTGTATATTGTTTATTAATTAACTCATTGACAATAAAAAACACACAAGAGGTTGTAGTATGAAGCTTATAATGCAATGCAATTGTGATCACTTTCATCATTTTGTAAACAAACTCTTCCAAGTGATGGTTTGTAGAAGGATAGAAGAAATGTTCATTGGTTCTTTAGAGTTATGTCATGAGTGATATCACGAGCTGTGACATCACTAAACCACAAAGAAAAACTACAGAAATTTCATCTGATGTCATGTCGAAAGCAACTGCATCAGCTATTTTATACTGGCTTAACATAATTGTTCAATTTGTAATACTCCTGATGATATCCTGCTCTATATTCATTCTTGTTCCATATTTGATGATTACAAGATATTGATAAAGGACCTGAATATATATCTCCTGATCTTGTAATCCACATGTTCTTGAGAAACCTGATACAGTAAAATCTATGTAAAATGGACTCTCTACAAAACAAAAAGCTGCCTAAACAGAAAATAAATCTCAATGTGGAATGATTTTCTGCATAAAATAATACTATGAACCAGAAACTTACCTAATACAAAAACGAGACTTTTTGAATACTAATCTGTACAAAACAGGATTTTTTGGTGTTTCAGCAGTGAAATTCTAATTAATGTTTTAATTTGCAGGCACAAATTATGGTTGATTTCTCAATGACAAGAATTAGTCTTCCCCCCTTTAATATATTAAGATTATAATTTCATTGTCTGGAAAGTAACTATGACAATTTACTACCATTGTTTTTCTTCAACTCTAGATTTTACTGACTCCCAGAGAGTAACAAATAAAAAAAAAAATCATGTGCTAAAATTCCAATATAGTACTTACCAAAAATAAAATTACTTTGATATATTCCCATTTTTTCATAAGTAAAAAATATCAAATGATAATTGCAAAACATTTTAGAATGAAATGATTTCAGTCTCTTAGTATTAACTAACAAAAGAAGCAGCAACCAAAGTCATGTGGCAAAATTTGTAGAATTACTAAAATTCAATGCTATATCACTAACATGAGGAATAATAAAAATTAGTTTCTAAGAGCAATTATAGACAAGTGAGAATTTTTAAGTAAAAATTGACAGTTGTATGTTAATCTAACTGGACAATAGTTAATGCTGACTAGCGAGTAGTAAATTGTAGAGAATAGGGCAATTAAAACATTCTGTGGGTACTGCACTTTTACAGGTTGTTTCCCCATGCACCACTTACATATTTGTGTTTTTAGTGCATCTTTGAAACATGTTTAGAAGAGAAGTGGTTTTAATGAGATGCAAATTTTTTTCAACTTACTCTTTTCTACCTTAATAAAAACATAATCTTCTATAAAAAGGTTACTTGTCAAAACAAAATTCTGACTGGTACCATTGCATTTTGTTTTAGATGGGTTTTACTATATTTATCAATTTTCCTGCAAGCTCATTAAATGTATTTTAATAGATCAGGATGACCTATTAATCAGATAAAAAATGTTAGCCTTCCTCTAAAAATCCCACTGGTAAAATGCTATAATTAGTCCAGGATTTTAGTTTCTTTTAAATGGTAACTAAAGTAACTTTTAAAAGAAAGTAAAATCATGCATAAAACATCTGTTAGATAGTAATTTTAATTAATATATAGAATAATACTTAGAGATGTACTGATTAATTGTTTGCTAATCCTTAATTATACTAATTGGCACCTCCACTGATTAATGGCCAAGTGACAATTAATTTGTCAATAATCAGAGTAATCAGTAAATAATCATTGCATTTGAAAATATAATTGAATAAGTTATAATTTAAAAAGCTTTATTAATAATGAAAGTTCAGGATAATCATGGTAACACATCCAGTTTTGTTAGAAACTGCTGGCGTTTTGATTCTATGTTTTTCTCAGTCTAAATTTTTATTCAAATTCAAATTTTTATAGTTTGTGCAGTAAAAGAGTAGACATGAGTCAGCCTGATCTGGAAGGGTCTATGTTAGATGAAAGTGATGAAAGGAAATATGTGATTGTGAGAGTAACATTAGAATTTTTAAAAATTTGTAAAAAAACTAAAACAGAAAAATTATTGATGATAAAGTTGGTAAAAACATTTTAGAAATGTAAAAAAACAAAACAGCTGAAAAAGATCAGATCTGTGTCTCAACCCAAAAAGGTAGCATGTTTCCTTCCATCCTTTTCTTCTAGCATAGACCCATCCAGCTCAGGTTGACTCCTGTCTACTCTTACTGTGTGGACTAGAATAAATTTTTAGAAAAATAACTTTTTAATACTTTCTGGTCTATGAATAAGTATCACTTGTCAAGCCAGTTTTCCTAAAAAAGATGAAGAATGAGTCTCACTCATTCATAGTTTTACATGTTATTCTATGGAGCTGGACAGCTTAGACTCATCTATAGTTATGGTGACCATACATTCAGTCCTTTCGATTTACTTTTTTCTTAAATAGCCATTTTGTCCTATATGTTGTGAATCAAAATAGTAAATTGAATATTGATGCCCACACATGGCACTAATATTCAATTTATCAACTGTATTTTATACAATTTATAAATCTTACCAAACCTGCATTGATTATTTAAATAGCTGGGACAGTTCTTTGATAGCAATTAAAATATTTGAATGGGTCCTACTATGAGAAACACCTCTGTGGGCAAGAAAGATTGAGGAAAATGTTTTGTTCATTTCCAGTCACTGGAACTTAAATATAAATGACAGTGATCAATTTGTTGAAATCTTATGTATTAAATGTTATTGCCTTTCAATTTGTATATGTGTAAAGGGGAGAATCTGATTATTAAAATTTATGGTAATAACCCAACTTGATCAAGGATGATTTATGTCATTCTTTTTCAATATTTTCATACAACTTTAAACCATAAAGAAATAATTAAATAAATAATAAATTGTGCATAATAAATGAAAAGTTAAAAGTTGAAATTTTGTGGAATAATCTTTGTAGTAGTTGTATTCAGACAGCTTTTTAAAACATTTTTTTTTTTTTAGATTGGACAGATAAACCAGATAATGATCAAGAAATAAATGTGTGGGAGGATAACTGGGATGATGATAATGTTGAAGATGATTTCAGTCAGCAGTTGAGGTTTGAATTATTTAATAATTTTTAGAAAAATGACTTTATGAATAAATTTTATGTAAATTTCATCTTAAATATTATGTATTACATTATATCTTAAATTTTAAATTGCACTTTATATCTTTTATTAAAATTGAATAACGTATAATTTTTTTATTTTGTAGAGCTGAATTAACAAAAGAAAATCTCCTCCAGAAATCAGATGGTAATGCAATGCAAACATGAACATTTTTATAAGCTTAAATATTATTCTAATGTATTTATTGTTTTTTTAATACAATGACATTAAAAATAAATAATGAATAATTTTGGTTTGAATATAAATATCTGTAAAGTGATCCATACATGTAAATGTATAAATTTCAATTAATAATAATCTGTTTAAAAATTGTATCTGAATTTTCTATCTGATTGATGTTACTAAATTACAATAAAATAAAATATATTTTATGATCTAGTTTTTATTGTATAGTGAAAAGTTTTAAATTTATAAAATTGAAATGTATGCACATTATTTTCACATATTAGTATTTTTTCAATTTATTAATCTGTACACAGTTTTTAGGTAATTAAATCATGTCTTTTCTTCTTTAAAAATGTCTAGAATATTTAGTGTAGTATTTCCAAACATACTATTTCACATTTACAAAGCATATATACAAATTATTTTAATTTATCAATACACTCATATGAAGAATTGGACTAGTTTGATACACATTATTTTCACATATTAGTATTTTTTCAATTTATTAATCTGTACACAGTTTTTAGGTAATTAAATCATGTCTTTTCTTCTTTAAAAATGTCTAGAATATTTAGTGTAGTATTTCCAAACATACTATTTCACATTTACAAAGCATATATACAAATTATTTTAATTTATCAATACACTCATATGAAGAATTGGACTAGTTTGATATACAGTAGATTTATTTAAAATTTTTTTTTTTTTAATTGAACTGCTGGGCAGTTAAGATCCCATGCTCTGGGAAATCCAAGTAGTCGAAAAATTCTAGGAATTTTTCATGGAAGGTCAGTTCTGAGTATATTGGACCCCATCCTTCACCAACTAATTGTGCCATTGTAGGCTTGGTTGAACCCATAGCAGATTTGGAAAAAGGCTTTCTTAGTACCCACAGGGAAAAGGTAAAAAAATGTGAAAAGCCTTTAATTTGAAAATGAATATTTTGCTTGTTTTGCCAGGTAGCTTGGCCATAAAGATTGAGTTTAAATGAAATCAGGACTAATTTTTCATGAGTAGATTGAGTCAAGGCATCACATCCATCTCCCACTTGTGCTAGTTTATTTATCTGGGATAGCGAACCTACAGCATATGTGCCCAAAGTTGCAAATCAGGAGAAATCTGATGCGTAATGTATCATGTGATCTCAGTTTATCTCACCTGCCTTTCAATTATCCTTTCAGTTTAATGAATATTAAGCATATTCATTTCAATTCTTTAAATATCATGATTGCAAGTCTAAAACTTTGGTGTGTGCACATTTTTAAAGATAATTATGTTCACTGTGGTGCACGGACTCAAAGATTTACCATTTTCACCATCCCTGATCTATATTGAGAATAAGATTTGTCATTAATAGTAAAAATTCAGGCAACCAATATAATCATTGTGTTGATGTGGAAAATATTGATTTTATAACACCTTTTAATGTCTAGTTAAAACAAGATCTTATGGAGATGAAAAAAAAAAGATTTCTTAATTATTAATTGAATATATTGTATCAAATTCAGTATTGTTACAATTCAAATGATATGAATGATAAGATGTTAAAATTACTGGAAGAAGAAAATTTTTTAACATTGGTTTCCATATACAATAATTTGGAAGTCATGTATTTTGTCTACCATAACATTATATAGGCCTAATGGTACAGTACCTAGGGGCAAGAAAATAACCTCTACATTACTGCTGCTAAAAAATTTCTCTCACGTTACTTGATGGAAAGATTTAGATATAAACTTGGTAGAGAGCAAAAAAAACGAAGTCGACAACCGGATTTTTCTTTTCGAGAAACAATATTTTGCAGAAATAATCCAAAAGTAAAAATCCAGCAACGAGTTGCTTAACTTTCCCGGCAACATTTAAAACTGCGTGTGTGACGCCAATTGTTATGATATTTTATACAGTAATACCTCGACTTACGCGAACCCGGAGTTACGCGATTTTCAAATCTCGTCGATTCGTCTTTTGAGCGCCACGCAACCCTTGATTACTCACTCCCCCCACACTATTGTTCGGGCGTGTCTCTCCGAATCCACACAGCTACAATTTATTTTGTGTTATTTATTTCTGTGTTTGTTATATCTACGGAGACTCTACTATGTCATCCAAACGAAGTAGAACTAATTCTTCTGCATCAAACAAGAAAAGAAAAACTTTATCTTTGGAATGTAAAGTTAACATTGGGTACGTTCGTAAAGTCGAACGAGTTAAACGAGAATGACGTCATCGTTATTCCTATTTCGTTAGACTTTTCGAACGATTCGTTACTAACGCGTTTAACTCGTTTGACTTTACGAACGTACCCATTATTAAAGACTTCGATACAAAAATGAAAATTTGTGAATTGGCAAAGAAGTTTGATCTACCGGAATTGTCGGTCAGAACAATTATAAAAGGCAAAAAAAAGATTTTCGAAGCTGTGAAAAATGCTCAATCTCAATTCAAGCATCATTCGTAAACGTCACAGTATTATCGCTGAGATGGAAACAATGTTAAAATTATGGCGTAATAATCAAGTAAATGTGAAAAATTGTAAAATAATATAGGCTTAATTTGTTATACATATGTATTATCTAAGATTTTATTAAACATTTTTTTCTAAATTATTATTTTCTTTAGTCTCCGGCCCCAATTAAAATTATTTGTATATATTTATATGCGAAATTATACCCCGACTTACGCGGTTATCGCTCGGTCCCACCTATCGCGTAAGTTCGGGGTATTACCGTATTTTCAAACTTTTTAATTATTATAAAATGACGAAAAGCTTAATTTTAAGGTTAATTTTAATTCTGCATTATATTTACAGAATAAATATAATGCAGTATATCTGCATTTCATTTATTCTGTAAAAAAATATTTCACAGAATTTAACCACCCAAATTTAATAGCAACTAGAATTTCAGAAATTTTCGACAAAAGGCACAGGTATAATTAATCTTCAGAGGGTGAACAAAATCCTCCTCCACACACACACACACTAACATCAATACATACAGGAAAAAAACCCGAATTTTTTTGCATTTTTCTACGCTTCAAGGTCTTCTTAGTCCAAAAATGTAAAAAAAAACTTGGGGAGTCATTTCTTGGTGTTCAGTAATGTGTAATCATCAAGGTATGCCGTTCAGTTAATTATTATTAATTATTTAATGAATGTGTATCTTAAAAAAACCTGCAATGTTTAACCGTTTTGTTACGCTACCACACAAACTGCAGTAGAAGTAATTTTGATTGCATAGTTTCTTATAATCAGGCTTCAAGTATTATAAGTTTTGCAGCTTGTAACATGTATTTTTATGCAACTGGGCCTGACAGTGACTCTTTTTGGTGATCTGCTTCTTTGACTTTGAATTTAATACGTTATAAAACACACTACTTTATAGTTAACGTGAAAAATACTGTAATGCCACTGAATAATTCAAAGATTGTTTTCTTGAAGCTGTTTAATTTTTTAATTTTTTGAGTTTTTAAAATCCATGTATTCATCTGATGAATATTTATTTATCTTTATATAGTTATTTTTTAGACAAGGAGACAAAAATCTGCAAGGTTGGAGCTTTAGTCCCATTCACCCCTATTATAGTCCGCTACTGATTTCTACAAAAATGAAACAGCACGATCCAGGCAGTAGTACTCTTCACTATTTATTACATATTAAAAATAATTTTGAATTCTAGATCAAATCCTATATGCTTAACCATAAATTCTTTTGCATATTTGATTCTGCGGAATTTAAAACAATCTATTGGAAGAATGAGAAAATGACACATAGAAAAAGACCACCAGACAATAAAATCTTTGCATTTTAAATTTTTCATCTAGTGAAGTTGGCCTTCGAGTCTTAATTAAATTAACCTGAAATACTTCTCGTCTCTATAGTAACAGATATTGTTTAGATATTCAGCAACGATCATTTTATATTCGGGATGTTACATCTATGAGAGAACTTGAAAATTCTCTACATGAAAAATTTATGCTAATTTTAAACATTTATGTAAAAAGTAACATTCTTATTTTCGAACGTTCTGTAGTCTTATATACTTTATACTGTGTTTTGCTAATTTTTTTAAAATTGTTATTAGCCTACTATGTTGCTTGTCTTGGGTAGAGGTTCTTCTTTGAATGGGAATTATCTTTAAACCCTGGTAATAAATAAATTAATAAATATTAATCTAGAATCGCGGAATCTGATTATCGATTTCTCTGGTCTGACGTCACACTATACTCTATTGGTTGAAGGTTATGAGCCCAAAAAAGCATTCCATATTTCTGTATATGCTGTTGTACAGTATTTTCTAAGTAATTATATCATGCTTGTTTCTGATGTCGATTGTATTTTTTTTTTTTTTCTTATATCACTTATTAGTTATAACAAAATATAATTATAAATGAGTAAAACGATATCGAAACTTCAAAAATTTCCTTTTTAATAATAAAATTTATCTTCTCAATTATATTTTGTTTTTTTTAATAAAATATCTAAATTTAAACTAGTGATTTATTTGTATACGTGTTGGTTATATTGTAACATAAAACCTGGTTTCAGCCATTCGATTTTAATTCTTATCTACCTCATCAACTGTGTTATAATTGTTTTTGTTTAGCAGATAGCTTATATTACAAATGCATTTCCCTCGATATATAAAAGCTATTAGGATTTTTTGCATAAATATTAAACGACAGTTCGTCGTCAATTAAGTCACCTGATAAAGTTTTAATTACGTTTTATGCCGATGGTTGATGATAGCGACATCTCACCCAGTTGACCATTAGCATTAAATCTGAATGGCTTAAATACAACACGTAATTTTCAGATTCTTTCTATGGATTATAAGCTATTTTTCCATTTGTATTATTTATGATCTCAACTGTGAAGACTGTGTAGAGATCTTCAAGTATACACAACGTCAGCTATGATCGAAAACGTAAACAAACTAAGCGAGGCAAACATAGGGTAATAATAATAGAGACCTAGTTCCAACACTCCTAACGTATTTATATGGTTGTCTTAGTATCGTTATCTAAAAATGATTTAATATTAATTTTGATTTTCAGATTT